ATTTTATAACAGGAATTAATAAGAAGTTGGTTGAAAAAAGAAAGAAGAGAAATTTAAGAAAAAAAGGGAGAGAATGTGATCAGGCAGGAGACTAGAACAAAGCCATACACTGCAGATTTAGGGTATATTTTGGTCTTTTAGAAGAAACTATATCCCAAAATTTTAAAGAGAGAACAACTTATATATATATATATATATATATATATATATATATATACCAAAAATAAGGTTAACTACAATGAAGGGATAGAATATGACTCTAAAAATGAAAAAAAAAAGATTTTTTAAAAAGGGATTGATAAGATGTTGGTTGAAAAAGGGAAAAAGAAAAATTTAAAAAAGAAAAAAAGAAAATTAAAAAAATTAACTTTGAAGAACTAAAGAGTCACGGGGAAAAGAACCATGAATTCTATGTGCTGTATTCCCCTAGTGCTGGCGTTCTGCCGTTCTCATTGATCAGTAAACTTGGTCTTGCTGGCTGTTCTTGGTGATCTTCTGGGCGAGGGGCCTGTTGCAGTGGTTCTCAGATGTCTTTGCCGGAGGCGGAATTGCTCCACCCTTGCTGGGGGCTGGGCTAAGTCATCTGCTCGGGTTTGCTCTCGGGAGCTTTTGTTCCCTGCAAGCTTTCTGTACAGCTTTGGAGGATGAGAGTGAAAACTGTGGCCTCCCAATCTCCGCCCTGGAGGAGCCAAGAACTCGGGGCCTCACTCTTCAATGCACCCCCAGAGAAAAGCAGTCAGTCACTCCCATCTCCCCAGTCTCCGGCCACACTCCGTGCTCATCTGGCCTGTCACCAAGCATTTCTGTCTCTGGCACACAACCCCGTTTGGAGTCTCCAAACCCGGCAGATCCCTGCAGTGTGCTCCCACGCTGCTCCTCCCAGGGGAGGAAGGGGAGTCTCCCTGGATCTGCCACTTGTTGGGTCCCTGCTGGAAGAACAGTGGCCCAGTTGTGCCAGGGATCATGGTTTATGGCAACCCTGAGCTGAGAGCCCACTCCTCGGCTTCGTCTCTGCAGCCGGTTTCCCAGCTCTGATACCTGGGAGCTATGCCACAGTCAGGCACCACTGGTCTTTCTGTGACCCCGAGGGTCATGATACCACACTGTCCCAGCACAGGTTCCACCCCCCCACTTAGCCACTGGAGCAATGTCCCTCAGTGGAGCAGACTTCTCAAAGTTCCGATTTTGTGCTCTGCTGCTCTATCACTTGCCAGTAGCGGCTGACAGAGGCTCCTTCCCCCCCCACGGTCTATCTTCCCAAATATCGCTTCCAATTCAGTTCTTGCACATCCTTCCTTCCAGAAAGTGGTCGCTTTTCTGTTCAGAGAGTTGCTGCTATTCTTTTCTTTGATCTTCTGTTGAGTTCGTAGGTGTTCAGAATGGTTTGATCCCTATCTAGCTGAATTCCTGGGGCCAGGTGAAATTTAGGTCTCCTACTCCTCTGCCATCTTGCTCCTTCTCCCCATTTTTACTGCTTTTGTGTTTCCTGCCTTTATACTGTCACTTTTGGCCCCTCCTTTCCTCTTTAATATTTCCTGCAGGGCTGGTTTAGTGGTCATGAAAGAACTCACGAAGCCAATGGCTTCAGGGAAGCATTCTCCTTGTGTGTTCCTTGTTCACAAAAGAAACATGTTACCCATCTCTGTATCCATGGCTTGCTCCCCACAGCAGCACCCACAATCTGTTTCTCCCCTAAACTATGTCTCCTACTTCCTACCTTCCTTGACGTAGCCTCTTCTCTCCCTTTAGTTGTGGAGTTTGTTCTGTCGCTGTCCAGGTCGATTTCTAAGGTATTTAAGATGATGTGATAATTATCTAGCTGTGTTCTTGGAATGGTGAGCCTAGGGTCCTCCTATTTCATTGCTATCTTCGTGTTCTCTTCTGGAATTCATGTATTTAAAAGTAAAGCAGGATGCATATTTCTTCATTTTATTTAAAATGAATAATAGTGGAAGTGCTTTTTAAACAAAATGTTTTGCCCTTTCATATCTAATAGGGTACAAATAATAGTAAAATAAAGTTTGTAGGTCCTGATGATCACATAATTCCCGAGCTAAGAGAACATATGTCTCTAAAATATAGCAAGCCAGGGCTTCTAGGGTACACTTTTAGGAGCCAGTCTTGCACTTACCCTAGCCAGAGAGTAAGTGTCCCCTTAAATTTTGTGCCCCGTGCACATTGCTGCCTGAGCCTAGTCTTGGCCATGAATATGTTCTGGGCCCATCACTTATGAAATACGTGGCCTTGGAAGTGAAAATTATACTCTCTAAACCTCAGCTTCCTCATAAAGAGAAGATGGCATCTTGAGAATTTTAATTTCATGACAGTGTGTGCAGGATGAGGGGAATATAAAAGCAGAGGACCAATAGACAAGTTTTAAAGAATCATAAACTTATAGAATAATAAATGATAAACTAACCTGATAAATTTATTTTATTTCTTTCATTTTATTGAGGAGGATCTTACTCAACAGGATGCAAAGACTTATCTAAGGCCATTAATCTGTTTTCAGCAGAACCAATGCTGGAGATGTTTCCAGGATTCTGTTCAGTGTTCTCTCCATTATACCCCACTTACTAGACAGCATAGTGAAGTAGCTTGGAGAGTCTGGGAACACAGACTCTGGGAACTTAGATAAGGAAGAGAATAATGCCATCAACTGAAATAACCAATGGAAGTTGGTAGGAAAGATGGTGAGTTAGCAAAGGATTGGAGTAGAAAAAACATACTTACGCTAGGATGTGAAAGATTTAAATAATACGTGAGAAAGAACTTTCTGTGAAGGAAGCCTCCTAGGGCTTTGTAATAGGATATTTAGGCAAACTGAGAAGATCTTTCTATGATGATCTTTAAAGGTAGGCTAATTTTGGGGGGATGTTTAAGTGTAGCATTGCTTGTAAGCAAGAATTTGTATACGGTAATTCCTCAAGCTCCATCTGAAACCTGCAACTCTTTGAGGTTCTTAGATTTAGTGCACTTGGCTTGTAAAATGGATGTTGGATATGGGACATAAAAATAAGAAGGATTTGAAATGACCCTTTAAATGGGAGAGGAATCAGCCATGCTGTATCAGAGGGGTTACTGTGGTGTAACCTTTTCAAATCCTGCAGGCTGTAGTGCTTTTCAAGACCCAAGAATCTGAAACTTCATCCCTGCACTAACTATATGTAGCTGGAGCATCTCCCAAGGCAGTTACAAAGAAGGAAGACTGCTTTATCAAGAGGCAGCATCTGCACCAGACAAGTAGGAAGGTTCTTGAACTGAGTTTTCATCAGCAAAAAGGGACAATGAGCCTGACCGAGTGGTTGTCTCAACAGTTTCCTGTTGAAGACAGTCTATAACCTAAAGAAGTTACATTTAACATCTTTTTAGTTTTCTGGCTCAATTGGTAAATAGTTATATTTTCATCATTGGTGGTTTTCTTCAAACATAACCATGGACTCAAAATACTTTTACAAAAATAAAATGATTTTAAGGAAAATACTATATTTCAATCTGTATTATTGTGAGAGAAATCAGAGTGACCAAAAATGATGTTTCAAAATCCAACTTTGAACTGTGTTTTGCTGATACCCAGAAAAGCAACTTTTACTGTGGAAATATGTAAGTCTTGGTGAACTAGACCACATAAATTTGCTATTTTTCAGTGGAGTAGTTTTTTTTTTTTTTTCTTTTTAAGCATCTTGATGAGAGAGAGAGAGTATGGGGGCTACTAACTAGTCCATTAACTGCAGTGATGGGTACCACTCAGAAGAATGTGTTCAGATCTATGGTCTTTTCTTTATGGTACACGGATTTTATTTCAATGGCCATTACAAAGTAGTCTGAAGGACATGGGCCAGAAATTATTATTAATTCAGGCAAACTAGAGAAACATTGGCAGTAATTATTTTTGTAGGCACGTAGTTGTGTGATCCCAGGAAAGCCTTCATTGAAATTGGTCATTTGGGGATGGTGACTGCCCTCAGTATCCATCTATTTGGATAGGATGGAGAGGGTCTATAGGAATGAAGTTTTGGGTACTAGATCTTGGGGCCATAGAGGAAGGTGATGCTGAAATGATGACAATATTATGGGATTCATTCACAAGCCCAGTCTATGGGTGAGCGTCAGCTTCTCCAACTTTGAATGGACTACAGAGGAATGCAGAGCCATTTTGATACCAGGAAGGTTTTGTGAGCAATTGCAAGAAGGAATTTTGGTATATAGAAATCTTTCAGCCAAATGCTGGCATACTGCAAATGAATTAGAGCTATTCTTTTTTTGTAGCATTAATTCGTATTCTTGCTCTATAGTCTTTGCCCATTTCACAGAGAAATGTTGGATCAAACTCTTGATGAGAAGTTATGGTCCAGATGGGTGATAGGGATTAAGGAGGGCACTTGTGATGAGCACTGGGTGTTGTATGGAAGTGATGAATCACTGATTTCTACTCCTGAAACCAATATTGCCCTGTATGTTGACTAACTAGAATTTAAATAAAAATTTGACAAGAAAATAATTATTATGGCTCTTCCATATACATGACCACCCATTTTCAGCACCACTTATTTCTGAAAAATCTCCACAATGTCTCATATGTCCAAGAGGAAAAAAAGAAAAAGGCCACTCATGTTTGTTACCATGCTGCCAGCAAGTCACTTGGGGTGGGGATTGCATTATAACCACTGCACTTGATGCCTTTCTGGGAAACAGCTTTCCTGCTTTCCACTGGCCTCAAGGGTGCCTACCACTGCTTGGCCCAGTGCTCTGCAGGCCTCACCAGATGTGGCCACTCCCATTCAGACCACTGGTGGGGTGGTTTCTTTTTCCATATTAATTTCAAATTTTTATTTAGATGCCAGAGCCTATAATCTCAGAGCTTTACTGGAAAATAGCAGCATTAGCTCTGGATCTAATTTTTCTTCCATATGTGTTGCAAAACCCATCCTTGGAACTGTCTGGCAGCATGACCCCAAGGCATCACATTATTTATCATTTTTTTCTCTGATTTTCTCTAGGTTCTTCCAATCCCCAACTCTCACATACTTCATATTTCCTCCTTCCAGTGAAAAAGTACAAAAGCTCTAATGCATTTCAACTTGTCCAAATGGGCCTTCAGTGTGGAAGATGACCTTAGTCTCTCAAACAGGTAAGGGAAATCACTTTTGAAGTAGCAAGACACAGTACTAGAATAATATTACCTAGGGTAAGTAACAAACTGCATTTATTTTCATGTTTTTATAGTTTGAATGTGTAGCCATAATCACATTGATATAAATCTACCCACAAGCACAGTCTTTGTAGAATCTCTGTTTTAAAGTTCGGGACTGTTCTTTACCTACTCTAGTAAATTCTGCCTCAAATACTCCTTTCCTGCTAGCTTTGGTATACTGATACCATGACGGTCACGCTAATCTCTACTCAACTCTTTGCTTCTCTACTACATGAGAGTTGAAGATCAGGTGTCAGTCTTGCCTTCTGATACCTTCTCCAAACATGTTAAAACTCACTTCAGTACTTCTGTCTGTGAATCTTTCCTTGCTTAATTATATCTTATTTTCATCACTGCTATTATATTCATCGCTTTCTGAAAGGTTTTTTATGGAGAACTGTTTTCTTGAGAGATATTAATAAGTATTCTTTTGGAGGGGTAGGGAAAGAAATTTGTGGTCAGCTAAAGTTGGGTAATTCTGCTCACTCTATCCACCTTTTTCAGTGCACTTGAATGTATTAAATGTTCTAAGAAGTTTTTCAATAAAGAAACTAATTTTGCATCCAATGTTAGCAATACATGCTCCAAAACTTATGTTACATTTGTTACATATTACCACTGTGTTAAACTGCAAATTTCTTAGTAAATAAATCTCAATTTCTGTCATAACTCTCCTTAGTACCTGATTCAATACTGTGTATAATGTAACTAAACTTACATATTATAAACTAGACACCGTGTTAGGTCCTACAAGTTCAAAGATGAATAATTTTTGTAAAGATTTATGGAATAACAAGTAGCTTTCAATGAATAGTATGTTGCTGATATTTAGTGTTTATTGAATTATGGTAGCCTTGGAGTTTGATTTTCAATTCTAACTGCGACAGTATATGCTTTATTTCTCTGTCCCCATTTAAGAACCTGTTAATCTTTTCCCCCCTGTTGTTATTATGCAAAGACTTTTAAAGATATTTGAAAACCAAGGTAAAATTACCAAAATATTACACAGGGATTTATAATTTTGAATAAGTAAAATAAATTTACTTATTTTTTGGAATCTAATATTTTTTTAAGTGAGAAATAGAAAATTTCTAACAATAGGAATCAGGGGATGGTGAAATATCCAAACGAGGCTTTAAAATAGCATTCCTAAAACTCTGATATCCCCAAAGCAGGAAGTGATAGGAGCTATAAATAATGGCAGGAAAAAGTGAATGAAATATTTTGTTTCATTGCTGGTTAGGATGTAGGAGTGCTTTTGTGATTATTGAGGGAGTTTGGGCTCAGTGGGTGGTGTACATCAGTGCTAATTTTTTTCTTTTTTTTAAGATTTTATTTATTTATTTGTCAGAGAGAGAGAGAAACAGAGAGCAAGCACAAGCAGGGGTAGGGACGGAGGGAGAAGCAGACTTCCCACTGAGCAGGCAGCCCGATGTGGGTCTCGATCCCAGGACCCCGGGATCATGACCTGAGCCGAAGGCAGCCGCTTAACCGACTGAGCCACCTGTCCCTTTTTTTTTTTTCCCAAGATTTATTTATTTATTTTGAGAGTGGGTGGGAAGGGGTAGAAGGAGAGAATCTTTCAAGCAGACTCCCTGCTGAGCACAGAGCCCAAATGCTGGGCTCAGTCCCACAACCCATGGTATCATGACCTGAGCCAAAACTAAGAGTTGGGCACTCAACTGACTGAACCACCTAGGTGCCCCATCAGTGCTAATTTCTAATACTCAGAAGATTAATAGCTTTTGGACCCAAGAGGTAGACAGAGTTCAAAGGGACCCCTTATTACTCAAGAATTTGCAGTAGTGTTTGGAGTATTTAATCTGTTTGGAGCTAAAAGAATTATGGACACAAAAGAAATAGCTCTTGGTTATTTTGTAATTCAGTGAACACTAGTTGGATCTTTATTTGATGTCATCAATGTGTTAGGCTCAGTAGTGGTGGTGGTGGTTGTGGTGGTCATTAAAAATAAACAGTATATTCTGAAGAGAATATAATCTTTTGGGAGAGATGGAAAGCTTGATGATATATGGAAAGCTTCAAAATATGACATGATAGAGTACATAAAAAATGTTACTACCATGTGATTGAGGAAAACAACAAAATGTTCAAAAAGATCTTGAGGAGTGAACTGGTTTTGTTCTATTTCATTTAGGAGGATGAAGAGCTCCTAGATAAAATGTTAAGACACACAAAAAACAAAAACAAAATAAATAATAGTTTGACTAGGTGAAGGAAAACAAATATTAAGGTTAAAATCTTGGCAAGTGAATGCACATGTTATGTCACAGAGAAGAAGTTGAAGAAGAAACTACTTCTGGAGTCAAATAAGTGTCTTGTCATAAAATTTGGACTCTGACCTTTTCACGAAGCAGAACCTTCCCACGTTCTACAGAATGATGGTGATCCTTGGCATTAGCCTTAGGGGAAAAAAACTGTGGTCTCCACGGCAAATCACAAGATATATTAAGATTCTTACAACCCACCAACTTCTACATGCTTCTAATACACCAAGGAGAAAATGATACCACTGAGAAAAATATGTAGAATGTGTTTTTTGTAAATTTTAATTCAAACAAATGGAACAGTTTAGGTTTACAGACAGAATTGAAGGAAAAAACTTCTTGCTTTTGAAAGTCAGGAGTTTGGAACAGAAAGATGAACAGGGAAGTGAAACACTGACTTCACAAATAATGCTGAAGAACATAACTTTTCTGATACCATTGCTTGTGATGAAAAACACATGGGTCTGTCAAGATGAGGAAACACCTCATTGCAGCATGCAGGGCTGTCAAGATGATCTCAGGGTGGAGGAGAAAATTTAAACTGAAATTTGAGACAGATTTGGCATAATTCGAAAAGCAAAAGGAGGAAAGGTGCCAAGTATTTCTTAGGAAAAACTATGAGAAATTATTATTAGAGCCTCAGGTATCTATGCTCCAATTCCCCAAATAGAATCACTTACCAAAATAAGAAAAATATTTCAGAAGAATGCTACCACCTGGTTGTCCTTAAGGACTGTCCCTGCTTAGAATTTCTCCTTGCTGTCTACCACGGTTTGAGTCCCACTGCTTATGGATGCTAACATGGGCCTCTCGTGCCCTTTTTGGAAGGTCTCACTTAGACTTCTGCCCATGTCCTCTGGAACCATGATGAAGTTAGTTTCATTTCTTAGTACTGGGTCTGCGTTGTTCCAGCATCTTCCTTTCTCAAACAGTTTAAGTTTTGCCAAGTCCCATGCCGGATTGTTCTTTTATTTCTGAATCAAACATATTAAGCAGGTGTGTATTCTAATAAAAACTTTAGAGAGATTCTTAACTACTAAGATCATACCTGTGATTTTGTGTCCTGTGTTAAAAACGTGTGTGATTAATTTAAAACTGAGACCACTAGATGTTTCTGTCTTTAAGGATAGTCCCTAGTAATCTGCTGGTGGCTAATTACTGGAAACAGTGTAAAGAATATGTTTTCTGGTCTTTCCTAGGTGGTGAGGAGGGGAGTCCTTTGATCTGTGAAGGAAAGAGTATAGGAGCTGGTGGTTGTGGCAGACAGGGAATAGGGGAGGAGATATGAAAGAGGAGGGGGCGCCTGGGTGGCTCAGATGGTTAAGCGTCTGCCTTCGGCTCAGGTCATGATCCCAGAGTCCTGGGATCGAGTCCCGCATTGGGCTCCCTGCTCCTTGGGAGCCTGCTGCTCCCTCTGCCTCTCTCTCTCTCTCATGAATAAATAAATAAAATCTTTAAAAAAAAAAAAAAAGAGGAGGGACCGCTGTCTCCCTTTTTTTCTCCCACTCCCCAAACTAGAGTCAACCACATGCCTAATATTTAGATGTGCCCTTTGCCCACTACTACCCAAGCCAAACTCTCCTCTGGTCTGCCACTTAATCTCATTTCCACTCCAAATTGAAGTTTTCCAAAGAAACTATTAGTTTACTGAGATCAGATGTGTGTGTGCGTGTGTGTGTGTGAATAAAAGTTGGGAAAGATTTGTTAAATATTCTGTGAATTCAAAAAGATATTTGTGGCAATGTATTCTAACTCAGATACAAGGACAAAGCTAAATTGTATATTTGTATTATAATTGTTACTTAAGTCAAAAGGTATGTAGGAATAGTGAAGTAAAAAAATATTTCATTAACATTTTAAATAATTTTAAAAGCCAGAGTTTAAAGGGCCCAATATAATAAAATGGGAAGTACTTTAGCCTTCTTGTATTTCTCCAATTAAAAGTAATTTGCAGATATTTAGAAAACAAAAGCTTTTAATGATTAAATTCATATCTTATCTATAAGAAATAGGTATGAAAGATGCCATGAAGTTGTGTGTGTGTTTTTATAATGTCTTGGGTTAGATTATGCTAATGGCAGTATTTCCATTCAATCTAATATTTGGTTTTGATATTTACTCTTCACTTGCTGAGACAGAGTGGAGCAGGTGAGTCTGTTGATTGCTATGGAAATGTGAAATAATTTTCTTGTGGAGCTGAGACTTCTGATTTCTAGAAATCAAAGGTCTTAACTTTAAGTATTAACTTGAAAAGGGGCACAGGAAAAGGGCTAGTCTTTAAGCCCAAGATTTATATACAAAATATTATTATTTTTTTCTAAAGATTTTATTTATTTATTTGAGAGAGAGAGAGAATGAGAGATAGAAAGCACGAAGGGAAGAGGGTCAGAGGGAGAAGCAGACTCCCTGCTGAGCAGGAAGCCCGATGTGGGACTCCATCCCTGGACTCCAGGATCATGATCTGAGCCGAAGGCAGTCGCTTAACCAACTGAGCCACCCAGGCGCCCCTATACAAAATATTATTAAATCAAATGCATCCATGGGCATATAGACCATTCAAAAAAGCTAAGTGAAACCTGATTGTCTAATCAGGAGAGACCATGTTATCAGAGATGTGGCAAAATAACACAGTTGTTAATTGTGTTGTGGTGC